AGTGGGGGAGGCAGGGGTAAGGAGGTGGTGCTGACCAACCCAGGGACAAGGGAGCAACAAGTGATCCAAAAACAGTGGCAAGGAGGGTGTGAGAAGCCTGGTAGGGATTCAGCAAGGGCAATGTAACCAAGAGAAATCACTGAAACCCAAACGAAGGCTGTGCATGATAGTGGGACAAGAGGAAAGTAAATGGAAATAGAGGAAAGTTGAACTAGGGGACAACGGGTATGTATAGAGGTTTTAAGACTGGAATGTACATATGTAAATATATATGAGTGTGGGGAAACAGATCTACGTGCATATATTTATAGGTCTAGTATTAAAGCAGCAGATGGACATTGGGCTTCCACTCAAGCACTTACTCATTGCAAGAACACATTCTATTAAATTGGCATTCCAGGATGCACACCTTCCCAACATGATTGCTGAAGAAAAATGTGAACAAAAGCAAAGGTAGTAAAGAAAGCTGACGGTTCCCGGCTACCATAAGATATAACGTCTGGGGTCTTAAAGGCTTGAAGACAAACAAGCGGCCATCTAGCTGAGAAGCATCAAAGCTCACATGGAAGAAGCACACCAGCCTGTCTGACCATGAGGTGTAGAAGGGATCAGTTATCAGACATCAAAGTACTGAAAATCATATCAGTGGGTCCCCGCTTTACTGATATGATCACTGAAGACAACCGTGTGCATAAGCAAATGTGGTGAAGAGAGCTAATGGTGCCCGGCTATCAAATGACATAGCATCTGGGGTCTTAAAGGCTTGAAGATAAACAAGTGGCCATCTAGCTCAGAAGCATCAAAGCCCACATGGAAGCAGCACACCAGCCTGTCTGACCACAAGGTGCAGAAGGGACCAGTTATCAGACATCAAAGAACTAAAAAATCAGTGGGTGCCCACCTTCCTGATACGATCACTGAAGACAAAGGTGTGCATAAGCATAGGTGGTGAAGAAAGCTGATGGTGCCAGGTTATCAAAAGATACAGCGTCTGGGGTCTTAAAGGCTTGAAGATAAACAAGCAGCCAACTAGCTCAGAAGCAACAAAACCCACATGGAAGAAGCACAACAGCATGTGTGACCACGAGCTGTCGAAGGGATCAGGTATCAAGCATCAAAAAACAAAAAATACTGTAAAGGTGGGTGAGTACAGAGTGGAGACTCAAAGCCCATCGGTAGGCAACTGGACACC